GACAATGTAATGATATAAATTCAAAGTCTTGTATCCATCCAATAGAAATCGAATTTACTATGTTTTACTGTACTGTATTTGAGAGGGTATAAATTATGAGTGTAATTATTGGTTATGTTGACGTTAATTAATATACAACCCGCTTTACACCTTACATTTACTAAATGTACAATACGTTTTGGATATTTGTAAAACGAAGGTTTTTCGTTTAAGACATTCCATAAAATGAACACAACGTAGGCATACAACCGATGATTTTGACACTTTCAAGGAACTGTCGTCCGCGCCGTCGGCATCGCCATTATGTATGTATTTGGAGGTGAGCAAGAACAGTCAGGGCCAGACGATGAATATGTGATTGTGACTAAGGCAACGCTCCTTATGATGCCATATCTAGGCATAGTCTACGTCAACTGTCGGCTAAATGTACACTTGTACCATGTTTTTATAGAGCGGTAACATCCTGTGACTTAGTGGTTCGGAATCCAGTTAACTGTTTTTATTTTCAGAAAATATCCATAGAGATATCATAATCTAAAACTGTATGTACATTGGTAAACTAGACATTTGGATTTTGTAAAATACTTCTTTAACGCTATTAGTTATATGTTACTTCTACACTTTTGTACTACAATTTTTGTAAGACGGTAAATATATATAATAGGTATTATTGTGATTAGGGCTACTACTATATGAACAGTTGAAAACATAAGAACATAAGTACCCTTTTAACTCATTTTAATCATCAAACGACTAGTTTCAACTCTTAGGTCATAGTCATGTTGACATTTTATACAAATACAATAACAAATACTGAATGTTTTATAATGTTTTCAATTGTTTGTATATATATATGTATATACAATTGATATATATGTTTCGCTTATATATATATGTGTGTTACAATTGCGAACAATGTAATATAATTTCGTAACATAAGTTCATAATTTCCAACAATGATGATAATTTCCAAAAATTATAATTAAACAAGTTATTTAGAAAAAAATAAACATTTTTACTATTGAAAGATGCTTGTAGTTTGGCTTTTAGTGAAAACTTTCCGCCTGAGAGAGCTCTCTTTCAAGTGAAGTGTGGATTTACATGTATATAGGCTCCGGACACCCGGATCACAATGTTATCTTAGTCATAACAAATTTTGGCGATTCGCGGGTGACGAACCTCGTCATTCAATCACACCGTGACAATACATTATATAGTATATTCGTATAAGAACCAGATAGTTCGCACACACATTCACCCCTCTGTTTTTACAAATGCGAGAGTTTGTCCAACGATATTTGATGAAATGGCGAACTCGTTAATAAACTAAAACAACAGTTTGTTAACATGTGATTAATAAGTTGTGTATCTACATCGAACACTCATAAAAAGAGAGGAAACTTTTATCAAGGTCGCGGTTAACCATCAATTTCTTCGTCGTTGACAAACGAATGATTGTATTAATCAGTTTTGCGTTCATCGTACTCTTTAAAATATACATGCAAATGTTGAGGGATAATTGGAATCTTAACGGAGTTTAACTAAAAAAATTTAAACGCAGGACATTTAGGACATTTCCAACTAAACTACAACTTATAGTATTTTTCTTGTTAAACGTATTATTTTTTATACAGTATTGGAGTTCTGTAGCTTCTCTTGATAGTCATTGTTAATTTCAATTAGTATAATTAAATACTAGTTAATAAACTGGCCGTTGCTATACACAACGTCTGCTTTAAAAATATATACATTAACCACGTAAAACACGTTTGAATATGCCAAACATAAGTTTTACGATCTTTATGCTAATATTAGTATCTTTATCTTAGTATTTTATGGAAAAGACATGGAATTTCGTCCGTAAAAAAATTGTTGAACGTGAAATATTTTATAGTTTACTTTACATACATACGGTACATATAGGTCTGAAGTACAACACATTCCCCTACAATAAACACTTTGTAGTGAAAATATTATTTCACTATTATTTTGCGTGAATCAAAATCATTCTCATAGTTTCAAAACCATTTTCCGTAAAGAGGATGTTTCTGATAAGCACACTAGCACAGATAAATTATTTTACAGTTTCGTAATATTATTGCTTCATAATTTATTTAGGACATAACTACACTCTTCTGTTACTCTATGGTCGGTGGCATAACTAATTACAATAAACCCGTCACAAAAAGTTTGTAACAAATCATTCTAGTTCCATTTAATTGCACATTTACACCTTACAACACAAACAATGTTAATGGCCAAGGTTACACAACTGCCGAGTCACTGTCAAGTGCGTAGGCAAGCCATTGGCTATTGATAGTGGGAAGTTCTTGTTTCCAAGACTTCCCCATTTGGAACTTGTTTGTTGTAAAATAACTATCAACATGCCATTAGACTTTAAAAGCCACAAGGGTAAGAATATAGTGTGAGAGCTTGGGATGTATTTTAGAGAAGAAGCATGCTGCCATTTCATTGTGTAGATTAATTTATTTAACTCTTGACCATTTCAGTTCAAAAGTTATTTAAGAAAAATTTATAGTTTTTCATCACTTCTTGCTGAAAGTAGCTCTTTTACATAACAGCTGATATCAAATAAATTAATTGTTTCCCAACTTCTAATTTAGACCAAGGGAAAACGATAAGCTGATTTCCTATTGCTCTAAATTTACTTTCCCTTCCTCTCAAACAGTTCTTCATTTGCCCCTAATACACACTAGCTTTTGCTCACAACTTATTTCTATTTATATACTGTTTTACTACTACTTCTGTTTAACAATACAAATGTGAACAGAAATATGCATAAGCTACTTGTAGTTTTTATACATTATACCTTGCAGGACATGTTAACTGCACAATATGCTCATGTTCATCCTTGAACTTGAACTTCAAATTTGTACGTTTTTATGTATTTTGTCTTTTTGTGTCCGACTTCTCCTCACACATGAAACTCGAGCGCGAACCGGAAAATGCCATTTTCGACACTAGTAATGAAATATCCTATAACGTTGTTCATATTAAAGTAACTTGACAATAGTTTGTAATCGTAAATGTCAAACAATTCTAAACGTTGTTTATATTTGGTGTATTATACAATGGTGCGTAGACATTTGATTATGATAGTACAAAATGTTACGTTCATCAATTAAACTAAAACTTCTTCTTATAGATGGATTGTTGGACTATGACGCCTTTTAAAGCTCAGCAGATTATAAAGTATAAAGTAAAGTCATAAAGTACCGTAAGATACACTAGTCGTTTTATTTTACTTAGAGCAACATTGTCCCCTAATAGGTTATTTAGAGACAGCTCCAAAGCTTCAAATGGTACTTCTTTATGTGACAACTCATTTCATAGGTTTACAAAAAAGGATACCATTAAAAATTATAGATCCTTATCTTAACCAAGTAAACAATGACAGCAATTTCAAAATTAAATCAATTATGACTAAAAATCCTTTAAATACATTAATGTTTTTTTAAATGGTCACTAATGGGTTTTAAAATTCAAATTTTGTCCATACCAATGTAGAGGAATGACCCATCAAATGTTAACTAGGCCTATTACAAATTAAATGATATTTAAAAATACAATTGTAATATTTGCGAGTTAAGGAATGAGCACTTTTTCAAGAAAGGGTTGTGATCAAATTCAACAGTAACATTGGAAAACAATTAAGAGAGGTAAAGTTTGAGACTTAACATCCTCAATTAGATTCCGTGTCAAAAAGTCCCTTTGCCTTTCCTTTTGACTCGACAGATCTTTGTAAATATGAAGTAGAGATTTGAATTAATCTTGCAGGTCTAAGACGTGTATCATAGTAACTAAATTTTAATCCGGTGACATCTATAATTATGAGATAAACTTATGAAAAGGTTTGTTATATAATAACTATAAGATAGTTTCTCAACCTAAACAAATACATCTCACGCATATTGTACATATACACGAATTGTGTCATCAATGTGTTTATTAACTCAAAAATAAAGAAAATAAAAACGCACAACGTTTTTTTTAGAAGGCTATAATAACTTTGTGGTTATTGCAATGAATAGTACAGTATTACCATGAAACAATCAGTTTACGCGTTTAGGTCTGAAATTGCTATGGAGACACTATCGTGGTGGAACTAGAAAATGAATCAGGAACATATTGAGTTTTTAAACTTTAATGAAATCAATCTGCCGTTTGTTTAGTAAGAATGTTATGTTATCTATTTTACTTGATTAGACTAAACAAACTCAGATCCTTGTTAGCCTTGTCCTCTTACAGAGTGCTATAGGTTAGATTGTTTAGTACTATAAAATATTCTACACTGTCATTCTATATAATCATTTTCAGAACACACCATGTGTAATGTGTGTGATGAAAGTTTCTACCTTTGGTGTTTTTATTCTAAAAAATAATTCCAATAATTTCTAGTCGAATATATTTTTCCACTGAAAGACGTGCGAAAGTAATGTGCAAAACAATCAAATCGAATAAGTAGTAAAATTAATTATAGTTGTGCATTTGTTTGGCATTTTACGCAAATAGTTTGATAAATATGACTAATTGATTAAAATTTGTTGCCCTAAAATATAGATTTAAAAACGCACTTTTAAAGAATTAAATTGAATATATAAATAACGAAACAAAACATCATTAAAGCAAATAGAGTTAACAGTGTATTTAAAATTACGCCAAAATGAGATTTAAAATAATTTAATATACACTAAAAAAGTAAAATTGATATATTTTATAATTATTTTTAGACCAAAATATTTAAAAAAATCAAAGAAATACACACCAAGAGCTACAGTAATTTATTAGTTCATGTGAATATTTTAAATTGAAAAATATTGTAAATATTCATTTAATATATATATTTATTATCTTAACACATTTTTCACTAAATCCAACAAATGTAAAAATTTACTCGCTATATCAGTTTATTAGCTTCGTGTATACATTGTAAATCCAAAATAAAAAAACTATTCATAATTTGTTGTTTTATAACTCACCGTTCGCGAGGGCTATAACAGAAGCCAAGTATATGAGGACATGCCTCATGCTCGGGGTCTAGCGGCCTACTGGCCTACTGCTGTTGTTTTACCACCACTCCACTACCGACTACCACTACCACTACCACTACACACTACCGCCATGTTGAGGGGGAGAGGTGTCAAATTGGGTCAATTCCTCGCTCCACCTGCTCCAGTGCATCGACCGGCCTTGCCACTTTTGACTACCAGACTGATAAGGAACCTGTTTTGGCTTTGGTTGTAGCACTGGCCAGTTAAATTTTATCAATTTAATAGAACAATAATTTAAGTTTTTTTATTTAGCGTGTTGCTTGGCTAGTGGTTAGTCTCTGACCTTGGTACAAGAGGGATGAGTTCAATCCACAGATCCACAAAAATTGTAGGAATTTAGGGACCACTTTCCCTTAAAAATGGGATTAAAATTGAAAACTTTGGGAGACGGACTACGATCCAGATATTTTTTTGGGTGAATCCCCTGATTTATGGCTTGAGGGTAGTGGTCATGGGGATGCGGAATACTATCCCCCGGAAAACCACCCCCCCAGGTGCAACGTGACGTCACAAAATCTGTTAACTAACCAATATGGAAGCCGTGTCCGCGACTGGAATACTACCCCCCCTAGACAAATCATGCTATTTAATTTTCATTTTAATTAGAGTAATTCCATTGGATAATAGAAAAGGCATGTGGTGAATATAAAACAGATTTTCGAAATGTTACAGCAAGTTTGGTTGGTTAGGTTAGGTTAGATTAGAACTGTTTGACAACAAAATTTGAGTGTCCGTGACTGGAAAACTGCCCCCCGGTCTCTGACGTCAATATGACGTAGGAACCTGCTTGGGGGGGTAGTTTTCCGGGGGGCAGTCTTCCAGCGACCCGTGGTCATCGAGGAGGGGTGGGGAAGTTAACTTTTTGTCAAATATTTCGCTTAGAATGCGATTACTTCTTAGTTGTACATCTTTTGTTAGAATTTAGGGCATTTATAATTGTATTCTATTATCAGAACTATTTTTCAATTAGTAAACCATCATTCGTTTTTTTCATTATCAGCAAGTTTGGTTAGTTTGGTTAGATTATGACAGTTTCAATTTTTCATCTTCAGTAAGTTTGGTTAGGTTATGACAGTTAAATTAAATTAAATTTAAATTTAACCTACAAACAATAACGTTTTAACAGTGACACTGATAGAGATGACAATTTGCCACGAACAGTTCGGCTATGCACGGTATGATGCGGAAGCGTTCGGTACGGCGCGGTGGTGGGGGGTGTTCCGATCGAGAAGGTCTCGTCTCAATTTCTCGTCCCTTCTTGAGCCAACCTGTGATTAAGACGATTACAGCCTGGATCATGTACCTTCACCCAAAAACGTTACTGGCATAAAAGTCACTAGTGGAAAATATTATTAATGCTTAACAAAATAGTATTTATCAATACTACGCTAAAAAGTTGCGAAAAATACTGAAAATACCGATAATCCCTAACTTTTACAAAACATTCCTGTATCAGGAAATTATAAAATAATACCTTGTACTAGATACATAATAAAATATTATTTACGATACACTCATTATAAGTTATGAAGTAAGAAACTTGTTTTAGTTTACATTTTCTGCAATGCTCTTTTAATAATGCTAATGTTAAAACTTAAAACATACAATTGAAATCACCCTTGAAAATTAAATCAAAAAACAAATGGTAAAGAGACCCTGGCTGGATATATCTGGATAAATTTAGTTTGATTAACACTGGTCAAATGGTGTTACTTTTTTCATACATTAATACAGTTGGGTCCCGCAAACTTGGCGTTATGTGGACTGGAAGGGCGCCGAGTTTGTGAAATGCCAGGCTATCGGGAACTAGGGTTAAAAATAAGAACAATACAATTTTTAAGCTTTTTTAACCGCCTTTTTTTATTTATATTTATATTACAAGTCAGTATTAAGTCATCAGATATAGTACCACAAATCATTGGTATTAGTTGGAATGATTTGACTTGAGACTTAATCAACATATAGCTTGAGTCCATGTTGAACTCGGACTCAAAAAATCACTAGTTTTCTGAGCCAGGCGATGGCAGAGTTATCCAGACTGCTGGGTTATCGAGTGCAGAGTTTGCGGGACTCTACTGTATGCAGGAAAAGAAAATAAACATTTATAATTTGTCACATGTTCAGTTCTGACTCCTTCCTTCTTTATCTCTGATCTGGACTAAAAATATTACTTGTGACTCAGTATTATAATGAAGTCATAACCTGTTTCAAATATTACTCATTTTATATTTGTTGGAAACAACTCATTTGTGTAATTATCTGGAAATTTTTGCCATGGTAATTGAACACTATTGATTTCTTACATTTCTAATTTTAAATGTTGGATTATAAATTTTAATATTCACTTTTAAACAATTTGGTTTCTATTTCAAAGTTAATAATCATACTACTTAAAATGTAGGAAGAACATTTTCTACTATAACAAATATGAACAACAAAGTGGTTTAGATTTTTTTTAAATTTAAGATTAATTATATTACTATTTAAAATAAAATAAGCCATTACCATCGAACAACCAAAAACTGATACTTCACTTTCGATTACTATCCTTCCAATATTTTTTATTGAAAACTGCTCAAAGATTACATATGCCCTTAAAAATTAGTTAATGAAATATGTACAACACTTTTACAATAAAGGACTTTAAATTATTACGAAACAGTTGAAAAATATACAAGAGAATTTCCAACTGCACGCCTTTTCCATATGACTTGCAATCAAATCTGTTAGTTCTATTAAGAGGGATCAATTACTTGTATGTATTCCATACAAGAAATATTGAATTACTGACTAGTTTCACTGCAACAATGCAGTAGTAATAGTATTAGTTTTATTAAAATGTTCAATGAATGTATAAAGATAAAACCAAATTAATTACTCTAACCAAGTATTGTTTAACAACAGATGATTAAATAATTTGTGGTTTGAGCTGTAACTAGTTATGCGTTGATCCCACCTATACCCAATCACAGTTTTCAATTTGATTTTCCTCCACTTATTTTCATAAGTGTCATGATTTATAACTATATTTTATTCCTGTACTGCACTAGCTCACTTGCTTTGGTTGATATGTTCCTTGCAAAGAAACTCATATAAGTCTTAGAAGCCCATGTGAGCAGGCAAACAAAAGGTTAAAAGAGACCACCAATCTCTTAAAAAAATATTATAGCCTAGAATCCTCTGTTATAAATCATTATCAACCCTTTAGGGTAAAAAATCAAAGTTTCGTAACCATCCAGGGGGTGCACAGTGGAACAAACTGAAACACACTATTTTGTTATTAACGGGAAGTAAAAAGCATTCCGAGGTTCACCCTTGTAGATGCTCCTCAGGGAGTTAGGGATTATGACCACTTAATCGGAGTTAGGGAGTTCGCTCCAAACTACACTAATAAAAATAGTCCAAGATCAGTCATTTCCACTGAAGAGCCCAAACACTTTTAGCCCTACCCTTTCCCTATCCTATCCTAAAAGTGATATCTATGGACATACAATAAGAATGAAAATTATTCGATGTAGGGGGATATTAAATCAGGAAGGTTCAAATATATCTATATTTTATTTTAACATTCAACAGTAACATTTATACCAGTTTCTTTTTAACAAGTTACTCATTATAGTTTTGTATTTAAAAAATATAAAAAAATGTTTTTATATCAGTAAAAAAATTTATACGTCATATCATGTATTTATTTTCCTTCATTTCCATAAATTATAAGTTAATTTCTAAGAAAAAAATTTAATTTGCGCAAAAATACCAGATTTAGTGTCTTTAAGACCAAGCGCCCCCTTGAGGAGGGATAAACATATGTATTGACAGTTTGTCTAAGTAAGAGTATCCATACAGTATAAAGTATAGTATCATGATAACATTTCTCGTTTACTTTGTGTGCAGTTATCCGTGACTCTCAACAGTGTGGATGGTAAAGGAGAGCTCCCCCTAGACCTTGCCCTACAACAACGACAGACCTCCATCGCTACAACCCTGCTGGAGAATGGAGCCGACCCAGACTGTCGCAACTCTCAGGGCTGGACTCTTCTGCATCGTGCAGTGGACAGAGGTTAGGAAATTTCTACTACTATCCTGATTAATGAATGACGTCCTAGACCTAGATTTTAATAATATTTACACTTTTTACTCTTAAATATAAATTAATCTGGTATGACACTATAAGACAAATATGACACTAATAAGAAAAGACAAATCAGTGGTAGACTGTGTATCCATGGCAAATATGTAGTGTGTTTGTATCGTGGTGCCTGCCACTAATTTTTATCAGCACTGTTCACTCTTTAACCTGTACTGGCTCACCCCTTGCATTGCTGGATATGTTCCTTGTACAGACCCGATACCTATTTGGGCGGGCAAGAGCAAGGTTAAAAAAGGCCACTCGCCTTAAAAAATTTAAAACTCCTTCCCATAGCCGAGCCATAATTTTCCAAATGTCGTTTCCAAAGCTGCAGACTCTTAAATGCCCTAGTATAGCTACTTGTTTACTGGAGGTTTAAAAAATTAACCTAATCTAGAGAGATTGTATTAACATTTTTGAACTGGAAACAACACTCTACGTACACTGCAGTATACAGCATAGATGGGGAGTGTTGCTAGCTTAATAATTGGAGTGTCCAATTGAAATCGATCGCCACTTATCATCTTTTATTTATATTTACCATCTTGTGAGTAACGGTATAAGCGTAAATATATGTTTTAAGTGTTATTAGACGTTTCTTTTATTTACTTTCCATAAATTTAATAACACATACAATGCTGATCTAGAAGTTATTTATGTTCTCAATGACAAAATACCATTGGTGTCCAAAACTACAAACTTAATCAATGTATTTAAAATCCTTTTACTAAATAGTTTGAAAATCTAATTAATAACTACTCAAATACTGAGCAATTAAAAAATAACAGTAAAAACTCTATTAAAAGAGTTTTCTTATAGTAGTATCTCTCTATAAAATCCTCAGTGAGGTCGCTACCAAGAATTGAGTGAATAACTTTTTGGATCCGAGTCCATATGTCAGCAATTAGCG